ATTGAAAGGTAAAGGCCTTTCCAGACTTCCCTGGTGGCGCAGTGGTTAAGAATCCGTCTGCCGGTTCAGGGGACACGGGTTCGACCCCTGGTCCAGGAAGATCCCACATGCCGCGGAGCAACTAAGCCCGTGTGCCACAACTACTGAGCCTGCGCTCTAGAGCCCGTGAGCCACAACTACTGAGCCCACGTGCCACAACTACAGAAGCCCGCGTGCCTAGAGCCCGTGCTCCGCAACAAGAGAAGCCGCTGCAATGAGAAGCCCGCGCACCGCAACGAAATGTAGCCCCTGCTCGCAACAACTAGAGAAAAGCCCGCAGGCAGCAGCAAAGACCCAACGCAGCCAAATAAATAAATAATAAATATTTTTTTAAAAAAGAAGAAAGGTAAGGCCTTTCCAAATTACAGACAGAGAGCTTACAGCTTTAATTTTAGTCAAAAAAATTTTTTTACCATTTCATATATCCAAAAGAACTGTTCTCTTTCCCAGTGGGCATGAATTTTTTAACTAATTTGTAGTCAAACACATAAGCAAACATAAATAAATAGCCAGGTTCTCTGTTATCGCTCACCCAGCAGAGAATAGATACCTATCATTCATCTACAGAAATCCCCAAACGGTCAGACCGTTAAACCAAATTCCCAGTCATTGCTGTCACCAATGAGGTATAACTTATGGGCTCTAAGTAAACCCAAACCAACACAGAAAATTAATTGAGAGTTGGAAAAAACCCAGAGAATATAGAGTTGGCGAAGTTAAAGTTCTATTGACACTTGGGACTCATCTCTAGGAGCCAAGAAAAAACTATGCTGTGGCTTCAGCTGTTCATGAAGGATTCTCTGGGCACAGAGACTACCTGACTCTGTCAAGGTGAATCTATTGTGCATCTCAGCAAGAACTCCAAAACTGTTAAAAGATGATTTTTTAAAAAGATGAAATCATAACTCTCATGCAAACATAAAATGAACACTTAGCAAAGATTTTAAATTAACTCATTAATTAATGAGGCGAACAGTAAGATGTTGCAACTGGTTCAAATGAGGATTTGACTTACAGAGATTTATATTCTCTACTGGACTATATATTTATTTATTTATTTATTTATTTTTTATATATATATAAAAAAGACAGAGCAAATAGAGGACATAAATGTATATGTGGGAAGGGAAGGAGGAGCTGGTGTGAGTGCTACATCTTCAACATCCATTGACAGAAGTCAATAGAAAATGTTTAAAATTGATATAATTTTTAAAGTGATATAATTTTCTTTAGAAATGCAGAGGCAAGGGCCAGCAAAACAGCTAAAAGTGGTAAAAGAGTTGCTTCTGGGAAGTAGGAAGTTAGTGAGTAGGGATGGGATAAAAGACTTCTATGTTTAAAAAAATTTTTTTTATTGAGGTATAGATGATGTACAATATTATATAACTTTCAGGTGTACAACACAGTGATTCACAATTTTTAAAGTTATACTTCATTTATAGTTATTATAATATATTGACTATATTCTCTGTGCTGTACACCATATCATTGTAGCTTATTTTATACACAGTAGTTTATATCTCAATTCCCTACTGCTATCTTGCCCCTCTCCCTTTCCTCTCCCCACTGGTAACCACTAGCTTGTTCTCTACATCTTCAAGTCTGTTTCTTTTCTGTTATGTTCACTAGTCTGCTTTATTTTTTAGATTCCACATATAAGTGATATCATACATAATTTTCTTTCTCTGTCTGACTTATTTCACTAAGCATAATACACTGTAAGTCCATCCATGTTGCTGCAAATAGCAAAATTTCATTCTTTTTGATGGCTGAGTAATATTCCATTGTGTATATATATATACCACATCTTCTTTATTCATTCATTTGTTGATGGACACTTAAGTTGCTTCCATATCTTGGCAATTGAAAATAATGAGGCTATGAACATTGGGGTGCATGTATCTTTCTGAATTAGTGATTTTGGTTTTTTTGGACATATACCCAGGAGTGGAATTACTGAGTCATATGAAAAACTTCTCCATTTATTATAAGCCTTGTACTACTTTGATTTTTGTAATATCTGCATGCACTGTTTTGAGAAAAGTAGAAAATAAAAAAAACGGTGCAATAAAGGTAAAAGCAATGGAGAGAAATAATTGTAACAGTTATATAATAAGATTAATTTCATTAATATACAAAAAACTCTTTAAATCAATAAAAAAGACTAACAACCAAATTTAAAATGAACAAAGGACATGAAAAGGCAGCTCATAGAAAAAGAAAAAAGGTTCACAAATATTTGAAAATACGTTCAACTGTACTTATAATAAAGAGTCTATTTTTTCTTTTTTTTTCTGCGGTACGTGGGCCTCTCACTGTTGTGGCATCTCCCGTTGCAGAGCACAGGCTCCGGACGCGCAGGCTCAGCGGCCATGGCTCACGGGCCCAGCCGCTCCGTGGCCTGTGGGATCTTCCCGGACCGGGGCGCGAACCCATGTCCCCAGCATCGGCAGGCGGACTCTCAACCACTGCCCCACGAGGGAAGCCCAAGAATCTATTTTAAAACAACAAAATACATTTTTAAAAACCTATCTGAATGATAAAGTTTTTAAAAATTATTTGCTCATACACTGGGTTGCCAAGAATGTGATGAAATAAGAACTCTCATACACTGGGACAACCTACTTGAAAACCACTTTGACATTTTCTATAATTTGCACAAAAACATATGTACACGATAGATCAGAACAGCACAGTTTGTAATTGCAAGTAATGGTAACAACACAATGACCTTCAACTCAGGACAGGCTAAATTAATTATGGTGCTTGTAATCAATAGGATACTATACGACAGTCAGAAAGAATGAGAAAAGTCTCTGTATTGATATGGAAAGTTTGCCAAGATAAGTAAAGGGAAAAATGCAGATCCAAGTTTGTTGTATTTTCCTTTCTGGATAAACAGGAAAGAGGGAGAAAATTGGCTTTCTGTGCATAAAGAAACCCTGAAAAGATACACAAGCAATTAATACAAATGGTTTCGTATTTGGCAGTAGCAGCAGTGGGACCTGAACACAGGTGACCCAGAATTTTCACTTTTTTGATATATTTTTTCATACTACTTGAATTTCTAACCATGTGAATGTTACCTGTTCAAAAATTCAATAAAATATGAATAGATAAATAAATAAGAATGAAGTAGATCACATGTGCTGATTTGAAAAGATTTCCAAGATATATTAAATGGAAATGTCAGATACTCCTTAGGTCTGGTGGAAGGAAAGGTCAGTGGGAAGAAGTTTCCATCAGGTGTGACTGCCAAGGGCAGTTCAGGGATTCCTGGAGAGGCAGGAAGAGTCCCCCTGGGAAAAGGTGGTCTAGGGTGACCCCTGCCAGCTCTCTACCTCCTCCTGAGTAAGGGGATGGGGAGGGTGGAGGACAAGAGAACTGCAAATGGGTCCCTTCCTGGGTCAGAGAAATCTGATCCCAAAATGAGGCTTTATGACTCCTGCTCTCCTGTCCTGCCTTCTGGGAGCAAAAGTGGAGAAGCAGCACAATTTATATAAAACTAAAGCAAGGCCCACTGCTGCCTGGTGGCTGAAGGAAGTCCCAGGTCCCCTTCCTCCTGGGTCTCCAGGTGAAGACAAATCCAGTGGCTTCTTCGGGAAACATTCGATCTGATTCACGTCCATGGCTGAGGTGGGCAGTCTGCCCAGCCAAGGGCAGCATGACGAGATTCTCCTCACCAGCCCAGCATTGATCCAAACACACTTCCATGCTCCCAGTGGCTGTCTTGAGGACACTGTGGGCACGAGGATGGCTGCGGCCATGGCCATAGCCATTACCAATACCTGTTCCTGAGGCCTGGCTCTCCCAAGTCCAGGGGGCAGAGCCTCCAGAAAGCAGGGCACTGAGGGGACTATCAAAATCTGGTGGTTTTTCTGGCCCAACATCTTTGGCCACCCTCTTTTCTCTTTATACCTGACCTCTTGGGAATTTTATATTTGCTTGTTTGTTTTCTATCTCTCCCCGTGTTTTAGTGTATATAATGTACCGTATCAATGGTTCTCCCACTTTGGCAGGTATCAGAATCGCCTGGGGGAGGAATAAGGCACACAGAGGCTCAGGATCCTTAAAGTAGCATAGGGCCTGACCTCTGTGTGTTCACCAAGTTCACCAGGTGATTCCGATAGGACCAAAGTTGGAGAACCACTGCACTAAATCTTTCAGACGTCTAATTTAACCCCCAACCCTGCTTTAAGAGGTAACTACTATGTTCCTCAATTAGAAAATAAGACCTAATAGGCCAGATAGAAAAGTGTCTGGGTTCAAATCCACTGTCTTCTTACTAGCTGTGTGACCATTGGGAAGGCACCTAACCTCTCTGAACCTCATCTTCGTCGTCCTTACAGTAACATCCCCCTCTCTTAAAGGGTTGCTAAGAGAGTTAAAAGAAACAAGCCGGGACAAGTGCTCAGCACTCACAACGAAAAGTCACACTCTTTTTCTAATCATGGCTCCAACCACTTATTGGAAACAAAACACTATGTAATAACAGTTTTTGAATGGGTACATCTTCATTGTTCTTAACACATCAAATGGCACTTGATAAATGATGGGAGAGTATATGGACCAATATATTATCGATTAACTCACCAATGCTTTCATTTAATTTGAAGTCTTGAAAAGAAAGATTGCTAGTAGCTCATAGCACCACTGGTAGTCAAAGTCTTTCTGCCCTTCCTTCCACAGAATATGCAGACAATTGGGGCTTTCTGCTGTGGAAAGACCCTCCCCCACTCACACTCAAGACAAGCAGTGTTCACTCCACAAACATTTGTTTATTTCTCATCTGCCACGTGCCAGGCACTGGGGATATGGTGGTGAACAAAAGAGAAAATGACCCCTAGTCTCAGGGAGAGAAACAGTAAATAAACAGATTGTGCCTAACCTGGGAAATGTGAGACATTCCTTAGGTCTGGTGGAAGAAAAGGTCAGTGGGAACAAGTTTCTACCAGGTGTGACTGCCAAGGGCAGTCCAAGAATCCTCGGAGGAAAGGCAGGAACAGCCCCCTTGGGAAGAGGTGGTCTGGGGGTGACCCCGGCCAGCTCCTTACCTCCTCCGGGCTGTGGGGAGGGTGGAGGAGAAGAGGATCGCAAATGGACCCCTTCCTGGGCCAGAGCAATTTGATCCCTGTGGCCAAGAGAGGGATGAGGGCTTGTGACCTCCTACTCTCTTCTGGGGGCAAAAGTGGAAAAGCAGCACAATTTACATAAAACTAAATCAAGGCCCAGTGCTGCATGGTGGCCGGAGAAAGTCCCAGGTCCCCTTCCTCCTGGGTCTCCAGATGAAGACAAATTTGATGGAATGTCTAGTTCCCATAACAAGCACGTTCAGTTGGACCAGATATGCAAGTCGAAAGGGCGTTGCTCAATGGGAAGGGAAGGAGTGGGCCATGCAGAGAAGCTCAGTGAGTACCCAGCTGATGCCATTTGTCTTCTAAGGAAACGCCTTCTCACCTCAAGAGAAGGAGAGAGGGCGGAGCTAAGCAGGCCTGGGCTGGAGGGGTTGTCTGGCTTCCAGGAGCCCAGCCGCCCGCAGTCAGATGGTCCACAGGACTTCCGGTAAACGCCTCGGGATCTTGGCTGTGTTTGCTCTTAGCTGACTGATCTATCTCAGACCCAAGCTTCTTGACAGGTCCACATCTTCAGTTTTTAGTGTGGTCTCCAGAAAGCTTCTTGCAACCTAGGAAGATTTAGTTTATGGCTGATGAGTTTTCCCAGTCTTAAGAGTCACCTGAGGGATTCCACAGAGTCGGGTACATAAATTCAGAAGTGGAGACACCAGGTGCCTGAGAAAATGGAACATTTGGCATGCGATTTGTTAGTACGAGTGGAGAGTTAAGGGGCCCTAGGACAGAACTTTTGAAACTTGGGCTCTTGCTGCCAATTCTAAAATGAGTGGTCCTCCTTGAATAGAAGGTGTAGGGGACAATACTGGCTGAGCTGTTGAGTGACAGTTGTCTTCTTTCATCCACTGTCCCTCACTTTTTCCCCTTAGAGCCCTCCCCTGCCCACACCATCCTCTACACACACGATCTGAGATGGAAGAGTGTGCCAAAGCTGTGTTCTGTTGAGGACATATGTCGAGCATTGCTACGAGCCTGAGCTACGACACCTACCACTGCTGCTACCTTGGAATAAATGTGTGCTCTGTGTCAGGGACTCTGCCAACAGCTTTATGTTTGTGATCTCCTTTAATCCCTACCAAGACCCCAAGACTCCAAAGCTGAATCTGAAACTCAAACAAGATAGGTGTCCAAGGATCCCACTGCTAGGAAGTAGTGAAACTGGATTCAAAACTGCGTGTGTCCAGCTCCGAAATTTTTTTAAGATTTTGTTTTTCCATTGGTTTCCTTTTTTATTTCCATTACTCTCTGACAGTAGTTCTCAAATCATGGTCGTGGACCAGCAACATTATCGCCACCAGGGAACTTATTAGAAATGTAAATTCTTCAGTCCCACCCCAGACCCTTTAAATCAAATTCTAGGTGTAGTACCCAACAATCTCTGTTTTCATAAGCCCCCCAGATGTATATAATGCTTGTTAGAGTTTGAGAACCACTGCTGTACAGGTTTCTCAGAAGTTTTTAAGATATTTAAACTTACATTTCTTTTATTTTTAACATCTTTATTGGAGTATAATTGCTTTACAATGGTGTGTTAGTTTCTGCTCTATAACAAAGTGAATCAGCTATACATATACATACATCCCTAAATCTCCTCCCTCTTGCGTCTACCTTCTACTGTCCCTAACCCACCTCTCTAGGTGGTCACAAAGCACAGAGCTGATCTCCCTGTGCTATGTGGCTGCTTCCCACTAGCTATCTACTTTACATTTGATAGTGTATATATGTCCATGCCACTCTCTCACTTTCTCCCAGCTTTCCCTTCCCTCCCCGTGTGCTCAAGTCCATGCTCTACGTCTGCGTCTTTATTCCTGTCCTGCCCCTAGGTTCTTCAGAACCGTTTTTTTTTTTTTAGATTCCATATATATGTGTTAGCATACGGTATTTGTTTTTCTCTTTCTGACTTACTTCACTTTGTATGACGGACTCTAGGTCCATCCACTACAAATAACTCAACTTCGTTTCTTTTTATGGCTGAGTATATGTGTATATATTCCATTGTATATATGTGCCACATCTTCTTTATCCATTCATCTGTCGATGGACACTTAGGTTGCTTCCATGTCTTGGCTATTGTAAATAGAGCTGCAATGAACATTGTGGTACATGACTCTTTTTGACTTACGGTTTTCTCAGGGTATATGCCCAGTAGTGGGATTGCTGGCTCGTATGGTAGTTCTATTTTTAGTCTTTTAAGGAACCTCCATACCGTTCTCCATAGAAGCTGTACCAATTTACATTCCCACCAATAGTGCAAGAGGGTTCTCTTTTCTCCACACACTCTCCTGCACTTATTGTTTGTAAATTTTTTGATGACGGTCATTCTGACTGGTGTGAGGTGATACCTCATTGTAGTTTTTTGTTTGTTTGTTTTGTTGTGGTTTTTTTTTGCAGTACATGGGCCTCTCACTGTTGTGGCCTCTCCCGTTGAGGAGCACAGGCTCTGGACACGCAGGCTCAGCGTCCACGGCTCACGGGCCCAGTGGCTCCGCGGCATGTGGGATCTTCCCGGACCGGGGCACGAACCCGTGTCCCCTGCATCGGCAGGCGGACTCTCAACCACTGCGCCACCAGGGAAGCCCCTCATGGTAGTTTTAATTTGCGTTTCTCTAATGATTAGTGATGTTGAGCATCCTTTCATGTGTTTATTGGCAGTCTGTATATCTTCTTTGGAGAAATGTCTATTTAGGTCTTCTGCCCATTTTTGGATTGGGTTGTTTGTTTTTTTGATATTGAGCTGCATGAGCTGCTTGTAAATTTTGGAGATTAATCCTTTGTCAGTTGCTTCATTTGCAAATATTTTCTCCCATTCTGAGGGTTGTCTTTTCATCTTGTTTATGGTTTCCTTTGCTGTGCAAAAGCCTTTAAGTTTCATTAGGCCCCATTTGTTTATTTTTGTTTTTATTTCCATTTCTCTAGGAGGTGTGTCAAAAAGGATCTTGCTGTGATTTATGTCATAGAGTATTCTGCCTCTGTTTTCTTCTAAGAGTTTTATAGTATCTGGCCTTACATTTAGGTCTTTAATCCATTTTGACTTTATTTCTGTATATGGTATTAGAAAGTGTTCTAATTTCATTCTTTTGTGTAGCTGTCCAGTTTTCCCAGCACCACTTATTGAAGAGGATGTCTTTTCTCCATTGTATACTCTTGCCTCCTTTATCAATGATAAGGTGACCATATGTGCGTGGGTTTATCTCTGAGCTTGCTATCCTGTTCCATTGATCTATATTTCTGTTTTTGTGCCAGTACCATACTGTCTTGATTACTGTAGCTTTGTAGTATAGCCTGAAGTCAGGGAGCCTGATTCCTCCAGCTCCATTTTTCTTTCTCAAGATTGCTTTGACTATTCAGGGTCTTTTGTGTTTCCATACAAATTGTGAAATTTGTGTTCTAGTTCTGTGAAAAATGTCATTGGTAGCTTGATAGGGATTGCATTGAATCTGTAGATTGCTTTGGGTAGTAGAGTCATTTGCACACTGTTGATTCTTCCAATCCAAGAACATGGTATATCTCTCCATCTGTTTGTACCATCTTTAATTTCTTTCATCAGTGTTTTATAGTTTTCTGCATACAGATCTTTTGTCTCCCTAGGTAGGTTTATTCCTAGGTATTTTATTCTTTTTGTTGCAATGGTAAATGGGAGTGTTTCTCTTTCAGATTTTTCAACATTAGTATATAGGAATGCTGGAGATTTCTGTGCATTAATTTTGTATCCTGCTACTTTACCAAATTCATTGATTAGCTCTAGTAGCTTTCTGGTAGCATCTTTAGGATTCTCTATGTGTAGTATCATGTCATCTGCAAACAGTGACAGTTTTGCTTCTTCTTTTCTGATTTGGATTCCTTTTATTTCTTTTTCTTCTGATTGCTGTGGCTAAAGCTTCCAAAACTATGTTGAGTAATAGTGGTGAGGTTGGGCAACTTTGTCTTGTTCCTGATCTTAGAGGAAATGGTTTCTGTTTTTCACCATTGAGAAAGATGTTGGCTGTGGGTTTGCCATATATGGCCTTTATTATGTTGAGGTAGGTTCCCTCTATGCCTACTTTCTGGAGGATTATTTTCATAAACAGGTCTTGAATCTTGTTGAAAGCTTTCCCTGCATCTATTGAATGATCATATGGTTTTTCTCCTTCAATTTGTTAATATCGTGTATCACATTGATTGATTTGCATATATTGAAGAATCCTTGCATTCCTGGGATAATCCCCACTTGATCATGGTGTATGATCCTTTTAATGTGCTGTTGGATTCTGTTTGCTAGTATTTTGTTGAGGATTTTTGTATCTATGTTTATCAGTGATATTGACCTGTAGTTTTCTTTCTTTGTGACATCTTTGTCTGGTTTTTGTATCAGGGTGATGGTGGCCTCATAGAATGAGTTTGGGAGTATTCCTCCGTCTGCTATATTTTGGAAGAGTTTGAGAAGGTAAGTGTTAGCTCTTCTCTAAATGTTTAATAGAATTCTCCTGTGAAGCCATCTGGTCCTGGGCTTTTGTTTTTTGGAAGATTTTTAATCACAGTTTCAGTTTCAGTGCTTGTGATTGGTCTGTTCATATTTTCTATTTCTTCCTGGTTCAGTCTCGGAAGCTTGTGCTTTTCTAAGAATTTGTCCATTTCTTCCGTGTTGTCCAATTTATTGGCATATAGTTGCTTGTAGTAATCTCTCATGATCCTTTGTATTTCTGCAGTGTCAGTTGTTACTTCTCCTTTTTCATTTCTAATTCTACTGATTTGAGTCTTCTCCCTTTTTTTCTTGATAAGTCTGGCTAATGGTTTATCAATTTTGGTCATCTCCTCAAAGAACCAGCTTTTAGTTTTATTGATCTTTGCTATTGTTTTCTTCATTTCTTTTTCATTTATTTCTGAACTGATCTTTATGATTTCTTTCCTTCTGCTAACTTTGGGATTTTTGTTGTTGTTGTTGTTCTTCTTTCTCTAATTGCTTTAGGTGTAAGTTTAGGTTATTTATTTGAGATCTTTCTCATTTATTGAGGTAGGATTGTATTGCTATACACTTCCTGCTTAGAACTGCTTTTGCTGCATCCCATAGGTTTTGGGTGGTCGTGTGTTCATCGTCATTTGTTTCTAGGTGTTTTTTGATTTCCTCTTTGATTTCCTCAGTGATCTCTTGGTTATTCAGTAGTGTATTGTTTAGCCTCCATGTGTTTGTATTCTTTACAGATTTTTTCCTGTAATTGATATCTAGTCTCATAGCATTGTGGTCGGAAAAGATACTTGATATGATTTCAATTTTCTTAAATTTACCAAGGCTTGATTTGTGATGCAAGATATGATCTATCCTGGAGAATGTTCTATGAGCACTTGAGAAGTAAGTGTATTTTGTTATTTTTGGATGCAATGTCCTATAAATATCAATAAAGTTCATCTTGTTTAATGTATCATTTAAAGCTTTTATTTCCTTATTTATTTTCATTTTGGATGATCTGTCCATTGGTGAAAGTGGGGTGTTAAAATCCACTACTATGATTGTGTTACTGTCAATTTCCCCTATTATGGCTGTTAGCATTTGCCTTATGTATTGAGGTGCTCCTATGTTGGGTGCATAAATATTTACAATTGTTATATCTTCTCCTTGGATCGATCCCTTGATCATTATATAGTGTCCTTCTTTGTCTCTTGTAATAGTCTTTATTTTAAAGTCTATTTTGTCTGATATGCTAATTGCCACTCCAGCTTTCTTTTGATTTCCATTTGCATGGAATATCTTTTTCCATCCCCTCACTTTCAGTCTGTATGTGTCCCTAAGTCTGAAGTGGGTCTCTTGTAGACAGCATATATACAGGTCTTGTTTTTGTATCCATTCAGCCAGTCTGTGTCTTTTGGTGGGAGCATTTTGTCCATTTACATTTAAGGTAATTATTGATATGTATGTTCCTATTCCCACTTACTTAATTGTTTGGGGTTTGTTATTGTAGGTCTTTTCCTTCTCTTGTGTTTCCTGCTTAGAGAAGTTCCTTTAGTATTTGTTGTAAAGCTGGTGGTGCTGAATTCTCTTCGCTTTTGCTTGTCTGTAAAGCTTTTAATTTCTCCATTGAATCTGAATGAGATCCTTGCTGCGTAGAGTAATCTTGGTTGTAGGTTTTTCCCTTTCTTCACTTTAAATATGTCCTGCCACTCCCTTCTGGCTTGCAGAGTTTCTGCTGAAAGATCAGCTGTTAACCTTTTGGGGATTCCCTTATATGTTATTTGTTGTTTTTCCCTTGCTGCTTTTAATATTTTTTCTTTGTATTTAAATTTCAATAGTTTGATTAATATGTGTCTTGGTGTGTTTCTCCTTGGATTTATCCTGTATGGGACTCTCTGTGCTTCCTGGACTTGATTGACTATTTCCTTTCCCATGTTAAGGAAGTTTTCAACTATAATCTCCTTAAGTATTTCTCAGTCCCTTTCTTTTTCTCTTCTTCTTCTGGAACCCCTATAATTCGAATGTTGGTACATTTAATGTTGTCCCAGGGTCTCTGAGACTGTCCTCAATTCTTTGCATTCTTTGTTCTTTATTCTGCTTTGTGGTAGTTATTTCCATTATTTTATCTTCCAGGTCACTTATCTGTTCTTCTGCCTCTTTTATTCTGCTATTGATTCCTTCTAGAGAATTTTTAATTTCATTTATTGTGTTGTTCATCATTTAACCTCTATTTCTTATAAACATCTAGTCAATCAACAATTATAGCCTCCTTAGCACATGTTTACTTCATGTCAGTCAGCTAACTTCTCATGTGGGCATAATGAGGGATTTTAACTTTGGTTGAAACTAAATAGTTTTACATAAACAATCATGAATGAATACATGAACAAGAATAATTTTATTCATTTTTATTAAGTAAAATTTACATACAATAAAAAGGAAGAGATATCAATTGTAGAGTTTGGGTTTTGGCAATTTTCTTACAACAACCATCTCAACTGTAGCACATTTTCATCTTACCTCCACAAGAAATATTCCTTGTGCCCTTTCCTATTTCACCTTCTCTTCCCATACCCGTCAAGCCATGGCCTATTTTATTATCATTACAGATGAGATTTGGTTTTTTCTAGACTTTCATATAAATGGAAACATGCAGTATGTGATTTTTTTCTGTCAAGTTTCTGCCCCTCAGCATAATGTCTGAGATTCATCCATGTTATATATATCAGGAGATTGTTCCTTTTACTGTTGGGCAGTATTCCATTGTATGAATACACCACAATTTATTTTTTTATTAACTTGTTGATGGATGTTTTGGTTATTTCCAGTTTGGGGCTATAATATGTGAAACTATTTTAGTTTTTAAAACCCTCATATTTTAATGAAGTTGGCTGAGTTAATAACTCTTATTCAAAAGTATTTCCCCTTATGCCTCTAAGATATTGTTCCATCACTGTCTTCCATCAGAGTTGTTGAGACGTCTGATACCATTTTAACTATTGTATTGTTTCTCTATAGGTAATCTATATGGTTGTTTTTGTTTTCTCTGTAAGATTTTAGAATTTTATTTGTATCTTGAGGTTCTAAATTTCCACCAACGTGTTCTGTGGTATATATATCCTGGGTAATTTCCTTAGCTTTCTCTTCCAATTTACTAATTCTCTCCTCAGCTGTGTTTAATCAGCTGTTTAACTCCTCTATTACCTTTTTACTTTTAATGACTATATTTTTAAATTTCTACTACTCTCTGGTTATTTTTAATCTATCTTTTAAAAAATCATTTTATCCTTTTTTATGTTTTTAAGTGCTTTTAAATTTCTCTAATTTTAACATACTTATTTTATACTTTATATCTGACAATTTTTATTATCTGAAGCTCTTGGAAGTCTAATTGGACTATATGTTTCTGCTGGTGCTCACCTTTTGGTGGATTATTTTCATGTGTGTTTTGCAGTTTTGGATTATGTGCTCCCATTTGGCATGGCTTTATCACAGAGAATTCTGGTTGGTCTGGGTTGAAGTTGTGTCCCTCCAGACAGCTTTTACATTTACTTCTTTCCAGCAGCCTATAAGTATTGTAAGCTCAAGACTGCATTTATTTTAATATACTGACTACCAGGCAGCATAAATTCAAACCCCAAACCAGAGTCAGAACAGCGAAGTACATTTTTTTTTAACTCATGTAGAACCCAGGCCAAATAAACTTTCTTGTTGTCTCTAGGTAGATTTTGATTATTTCACACTCTCACTGAGGGACTAATCCATCAAGTATTTTGGCTTTATGCAAGCATCTCAGTTTCAACTTCCTGCCTCACACAGGGTAAATGACTCCCACCCCCCACCCCCATGCCCATTAAAACCTAAGTCCCTGGCTTTTTGCAACTGGCGAACACATTCTTGTCCCTGGTCTCCTCCCCTACATGGCCAGCTTATTGTTACTTTCTTGCAAGGGAGGCCTACAGGGAACTCAGGTAGGAATCGGAATCTGAGCCTGGAGGGGAATACCTAGCTCCCAGGAGGCTGAGTGCTCAGCCTACAGCAGATTCTGGCTGGACCTCAAAGGATGAAGCCCAAGGCTCCCTATCTGTCCACTTTTGATGCCTTCACTCATTCCATTTGTAGTGAAGTTGTCCTTTACTCCCCTCTTCCCTTCATCCTACATTGGTCTTTTGAAAACAGCTGGGCCAATTTTTACTGTGTGTCTTTCTGACTCCAGTATATTTACTGAAAAATAAATGTGTCGTTTTATACCTCTCAAACCACACACAGCAGAACCGTTTGCTTAGATTTCATAGCACAAGGATACATACATTAGAGCTTCAAAGTGTCAAGATTAAAACTGGGGACTCATGGTTTATCCATCTCAGCTCACACCTCCATTCTTCAGAGTGTAGGAACCCCTGCTCAAGCCCCAGTTCTCAGAACCATGTGTCAGAGCAGTAAGCCAACCCATTTTCTGACCCACTGGGATAGCCAGCATGAAGAACAGTCCTGAACCAAGAGTCCTTGACCAAATGCCAGCCATGCGATTCACCTTAGTCAGGTGATCGTCAGCTTTTTCCTGGGGTCTAAAGCAGAGTCCCACTACCCTGCTGCCCTCCATCTGGCCTCCCTCTGGGTCCTGCTTGCTTTTAGTAGATTCATGCTCTGAGAAAATGCTTTTCTTGAGTAACCCCACTGCGTAGATGCTCTCAGGGTACCTTGCTGGGAAGCAAGTGAGAATCAGGTTCTCAAGTCAAACCCCAGCCCAAGCTGCCCTTTCCAAGCTGAACTTAGCACACTGTCTTAACAAAGCTCTTTTCCTTAGAAAGAACTTTGGAGCCAGACAGGCCTGAGTTTGAATCCCAGTTCGGCCACTGACCAGTAGTTATTAGGCATGTGATTTAACCTCCTTGAGCCTTTCTCATCTGTAAAATGGAGATGGTTAAACATAGCTCAGGGCTCTCGTAAGAAAACAAGATGAAGGCTGTCTCCTGCCCAGCGCAAAGTAGAGTAGAGGCCCACAGGCGTGAGTTCCCATCTTCATGACTTTACCAGCCAGGCCAGAAGTTCTGGCTACACAGCTGAGAGACTCCAGGTTTGAAGCCTGGGATCTGATGGCCTGTTGTGCATGTTGGGTGGGTACTGGGTGTTTGCTGCACAGAGTATTCTGCATGGGGCCAGGGGCTCTGTGGGAGCCCAGCCAGCCAAAAATGAGCTATTCCAGGCCTTGTGTACGTTGGAGGTCACAAGGACACCCACGCCCGGCCACGTCAGGTTTTGAGCATGGGTTGCTCATGGTCCTGCTGAATTTTGCAAAGGAAAGGAAAGTTCCTTTGGGCTGTGCTTTTGACCTTTGAGCGTGTTATCTTCAAAGCCATAAACCTGGTCCACTGGATTATAAATGTAGCTCATTCTAACACGTTCGCCCTGCAGCCTGCTCCTTGCCGTCCTGCGCACACCCACGGTAACCAAAGGCCACCACCATGACAAGGGACCAGAATGGAACCTGGGAGTTGGAGAGTAATGACAACTTTGAAGGCTTAATGAAAGCTCTGGGTAAGGGGGTTGCCAGAGGTGGGAAAGGGGGAGGAGGTGGGAAAGGGAGAGGGAGGGCACTGTGGAGCTCCCCAGACCTGTGTGCAAGCCTCACTCCTCGCTCTTTACCAGCTGTGTAATATCAGGCAAGTCACACTCATTCTCTGAGGCTCAGATTCCTCATCGGCAAGTTGGGAGCAATAATAAATGAGGTTATGTCTAGAATGTCCTTGGCGTACAGAAAAGATTCACTGAATGGGGGAGGCACACACACGCATATGTGAGGAAAGCCAGACTTGAGAGGAAAATGCAGTAGCTCCCCTGCCTTGTGATTGCCATCTCTTAGATAACAAGTTGGATCTGATACGATGCACAAATGACCCCTGCATTGCTCTTTCATTAGTCTTGTAGTGGAGAAGCACAAAAAAGAGTAGATAACAAATCTCTCAGCCTAGAGAAAATCAGGCTAGGAAAGGCTTTCATCATATACATCAAACAACTCACTGCTCACCTGACTTCTGAACTAGGCTCCAAGCCAGGTGCTCCATCACCATGTGTCCCGAGTTGACTCTCCTGTGGGATCTCTTGTGGGGCTGGCAGAAAACACACAAAACCAGAGCAAGTGGGCCCACAGAGGCGAGCTCACTTTTGGGGGCAGATACTATAGACCAGGTCCCGGCAAGGAGCACCGGCTGCCTGTCCTTATTTCTGCAATGACCGCCTGATCACCTTTTCTAGCTGTAGATCTCTCCGCATAGGGAGTTCCCAGCTGGAACTTCTCTACGTGAAGCATGAGAAGAAATGGCTGTGGGTGCGATCTGAGGCCCAATAATTTGGATGTGATGATGGGAAGTCTCATCAAGAATGGGAATTGTGGGTTTTTCTGTGCGATTCACTTCTAGCTTGATGACACTTCCACCGTGTCAACAAACAAGGAGAGCTCATGTGACATGTTTTGCAATTTACAGAGGTTGGAAATTTCTTCATGTACTTTAGACATGTTTACAGCACTGGATAGCTTTTTTTCCCCTCCTGGCTACAGAATGCTACCAATATACTTGGGAGAGGGGGGAGGAGACAAAAATCCCCGTATCAGAACCCTAACCCTGTCGCCCCTGCTTTTAGCACCCTGAGTGAGACTAGAAATGGAATCCTGCTTCCATACATGAGTAAATGGGCTGGAAATGAGCTCAGAACTAGAATTCTGAACAAGATCATACAGAGGAGGAAACAAAACCAGTGGGCCAGCTGAGGCTTTCTCTCTGACGTTGGCCAATATTTTAACCTTTCCGTACCGGTCTCCTCATCCACCAGATAGAGAAATAACACCAGCCTTGTTTCTCCAGATGATGTTGGTGGTTGTTCTGAATGATTGAAAGTACTTTAACAAGAGCTATTTGATGGTTTCAAGCTTTCAGCAGTGAGCTGAACAAGCCCAACTCAGGGAATATAATAAGAAAGCAATTTTGTGTCCTTTGTTGCTTATTCTTAAATTATATAAAGTCCTATGGTGGCTTTAGGTACAAAATCGAGTCTCAGTTTAGTTTTCGGCTGTACAGGGTGGGCCCCTGGAGCCCCTCTTTCTAGTCTTAAGGTGAGAGGCAAGCACTCCTGTCACCATCCCCTATTGCTTCTGGGGGATGCCAGGATGCAGGGCACCCTGTCAGCTCTGTGCAAAAAAATCCTCTTCCTAAAAGCAGCCTTCCTCTGGACTCTTTCACACCCACTTACACCCTCCTTGTGCAGGAGGGGTGCGTGGATCGTGAATGTGATGTTTGGATGTCTCTGTCCAGGAGGTTTTGGAGGGAGTGGCCTTTCCAGTTCTCCTTGGTATCGGACACCTCTTATCTCAGAGCTACAGTCATGACTTCCAATTCAACAACTTAACTACATTGATTTCACTCTAATGAGCAAACGGGTTGACCCCTTTGTACGAGTCTCTGCAGTGGAGAGGGGTGGGCTCCCACTTTCCTGATGGAGATTAACACCATAGGGGGTGGTACTAGCTAAACCCAGAACGTGGATGTGCTTGGTGCCTCGGTTTACCCAGCTGCTGATGGCCTACAGTATCCCAGGAGCTTGCCCCAGCTTGAATCCATGAGGCTCTGTGCAGAAACGACTCAGCCAGAGTCACCTTCCCGCCGTGGAGATGGGACACCTGACCCCTCTCACCTGCGCATGGGGACACAAGTGGGGCAGACAGGCACTGGGACACAAGTGGGGCAGACAGGCACTGGAGACAGGTCTCAAGGGCTCAGCCAGAAGCAGCCGGGTGGGGCTGCCTCCCACAATTGAATCTGCTGAAAGCAACCCAGCAGGAACTTCCCTGGTGGCCCAGTGGTTAAGACTCCATGCTTCCAATACAGGGTACGTGGGAACTATGCCATGTGATGTGGCCAAAAAAAAAAACCCAAAATGCAACCCAGCAGATCTGTACAATTTCCTCCACATCCACCCCACAAGACAGGGGTTGCTTTCCCAACACTGACAAGTCAGTGAAGCTTGTCTTCTTGCCCTTTTGAGCGCGAAGCCCTTCGCATTTGGGAAAAACGTATGTGGAGATCCTCCCAAATCCCCAGATATGGAAATATCACTAAGTATAACGCCATTCCCTGCCAAAGAGCTGTCTCTTTCTTAGACGTTAATCCCTAGCACCAGGGAGTCGGCTTTCTCTGTGGGCCTGGCGGCTGGTTCCCTAGGAAGGAGATACTCCTGTCAAGAGGTGGGTCTGGGGACAAACTGTCTTTGTTCCCAGTTGGTGACTCACTCCACCCCCCGCCTCCCCACATGACCTGGCTGCCAGCCTCAGCAATGACACATCAGGGCAACCTTTGGGTTTGCCCCAAATTTTCAAAGTCATTCGCTGTTCAGAGAATGGGTGACAAGGATCGATTGTACCTCCTCTCCTGCCTTCTTAGATCTCGTGTTTCCTGAGGCCCTAGACTCTTTCTTGACAGTGAGGAGAGCAGCTGGTGAACTCCTCTACCCTGAGGAAGCTGTCATGCCCTGAGGTCCTCCTTCAGCTTGGATCGGGGAGTCAGGGAGCGGAGGATTGGTCTTCAATCTAAAGGGCAGACCTCTCAAAGTGAGGTCCCCGTGCTGTGAAAGAACACTTGGGGAGAGTCCATTCACTCTGCCCCGGAGTGAGACCAGCACTGCACGTACCTGGGGAATCATTCAGCTTCTTTTCCAAAGCTTTAGACGACGCCCGTGGAAGCCAGGGACGGTGCCATTTGCAGCAGGCCCGGGCCCAGCCTCTGTTCTCAAGGAGCTCAAACTGGTGCAGAGAGTCAAGCTATAGCTGTGTACAGATTGCATTCCTGTTCTCTATTATAGTGTGATAAATCACCCCCCAAACGTGGCGGCTTGATTTTATGATACAGTGATTTTATCATTGTCTCTCATAGTTATGGGAACTGACCAGGTTCACAGAGGGGGTTCTTGCTAGGAGGCTCTCATTCCATTGCGGTAGGACAGTGGCTGGGGCCAGAGCCATCTCAAAGGCTCCTGGCTCCTGTATCTGACAGCTGGTGCTGGCCAGCCGCTGAGACCTCATCTCCACGTGGTGACCCAAGTGGCCTGCGTTTCCTCACAGCACTCTGGCTGTGTCTAAAGAGACAGGAGGCAGCAGCTGAATGACCGTTTATAACCCAGACTCAGAAGTCACACAGCATCACTTCCGCCATATTCTATTGGTTGAAGCAGTCATGAGCCCACCCACATTCAAGGGGAAGGTACATAGACCCCGCCTCTCAAAATGTCAAAATCCTATTGTAAGAACAGCCTGTAGGATGAGAGGTGGTGGTATTGCAGCCATTAAAGAAAGTATAGTCTGCCACAGATGGGACAGTGGGTGATTCTCTCCCTTGGGCCTGAAAGGGCTATGGTGACAATAGAACAATGGTGACCGGAAGTGTGTGCGCTGAATGGTGATGGATGGTAACTAGACTTGTGGTGGTGATCACTCTGCAGTCTATACAGATGTTGAATTATGATGCTGTACACCTGAAATGTACATAATTTTTTAAAACAGTGTGTGTGGCAGTGAGGGTGGAGGGAGCTACAATAGATGGATCATTGACGGTCTCCTGAGTACTTCTGGGTGGGGTTTTGAAGGAAGGAGAGGAGTGCTCTACACAAGGATAGAGTCAGGTCTGGACCTGTGAGCATGAGCCAAGGTCAGGCTATGAGGATGTGGGCGGCCAAAGGAAGCAGAAGCCATATTACCAGGGAGTGAAGGGCAAGGGCGGCCACAGGGGTAAGAAGAGTCAGAAAGGTACCAGGGCTGGATCTTGAAGAGGTGTGACACCATGTGTGACCATCACCCAAGGACATCAGGTAAGGAGAGGGTCCTGGGAAGAACTGTGTACAGAGGAGAGAAGGGCCATGAGCACACTGACAGCCAGGGCGTGAATCGATCAGCAGAGACAGTCAGAGAACTGAAGGAGGAAGTGGCTGCAGTCGTCCTGGGAAGATGCGAGAGCAGTGCCAAGGAGGGTGTCCAAGGGGTTGTCCATAGCAGGAAACTGACTAGATTTGGTAACTAAGTGGAGAAGAAGCAGGGGGTGAGCCTAAGAAATAAAACCCCACCATGTAACTTTAATCAGGAAGACAGGAATGTATAATGGAAGGCATCTGTTCCGAAAGTACTCAGGGACTTCCCTGGTGGTCCAGTGGTTAAGAATCCGCCTGCCAATGCAGGGGACACGGGTTTGAGCCCTGGTCCGGGAAGATCCCACATGCCGAGGGGCAACTAAACCCGTTCGCCACAACTACTGAGCCCGTGCGCCACAACTACTGAAGCCCGCGCGCCTAGAGCCTATGCTCTGCAACAGGAGGAGCCACCGCAATGAGAAGCCCGTGCACCGCAACAAAGAGTAGCCCCTTCTCGCCTCACCTAGAGAAAGCCCACGCACAGCAATGGAGACCCAGCACAGTCAAAAATAAATAATAAATAAATAAATAAAAATAAAAATACTCAGTTAACATTAAACTTAGACATATTTTAGGAAATCTTTGTTCAATAATTTGTAACCATTAGGAGAAATCCAGTTCTCTTAATTCACAAAAGAACGTGGGGATCATCTTCTATGAAGAGCATCTTTTCATTGAAATCAACATGTACAGATTTAAAAGAGCAGTGGCGGGGCTTCCCTGGTGGCGCAGTGGTTGAGAACCTGCCTGCTAATGCAGGGAACACGGGTTCGAGCCCTGGTCTGGGAGGATCCCACATGCCGCGGAGCAACTAGGCCCGTGAACCACAACTACTGAGCCTGCGCGTCTGGAGCCTGTGCTCCACAACAAGAGAGGCCACGATAGTGAGAGGCCCGCGCACCACGATGAAGAGTGGCCCCCGCTTGCCACAACTAGAGAAAGCCCTCGCACAGAAACGAAGACCCAACACAACCGAAAAAATAAATAAATAAACAAATGTGGGGTTTAAAAAAAAAAAAGAATTTAAAATTAATCAATACAATCATAAATAGCATGTAGGTCAAATAATAAAAAGAAAAAAAAAATAAAGAGCAGTGGCTACTACAAAAAGTCCTAGTGGGTCTCTGGAAAATTCTACCAGGAAAGCGGTAACCTTAGAGGCTGAAGTCAAGCAGCTGCCACCTGAGTGGTCTTTGCCGGGAAATCTTTCCTAATTACCCACGACGTTCAAAAGCCTGTCCTGACTGCAAGGGGCCAAAGTGTAACATCAGAGGTGAGCGCATGCACAAAACATTCTCAGGCCATGATAAGATCGTGCTAGCATGAGCTTTCTATACATTGTGTCATTTAATTAATTCAGTTTCAACAAATGCCCTGAGCCCCTATGACATGCCAGGAAGAGCTCTAGGCATT